GCAGAATCAAAGCAGTTTTCTAATAAAACTCAACTGTCGACCTTGAATTATTGTAATCAAACTCATTAGTCACTATGTTTTTATATCGTTCTTGATTGGCCCAAATTAAAACCTGTGACTCTGGTAGAATACTTGCTGAGTATAAGAGATAAATAATTTCAGTGCACAAAACCTTTTCTAAGATCAGAAGATGAAAAGTAAGGATGAAAAAAAAAATGAACTCAGAGTGATAATAAGTTGACTAACCCTTTGTAGTAAGTTCCAGACATGGTAATAACACCTGCAGCATGGTTATCAAGCTGGGTTGACCAAACAAGCTCACCAGTTAATCTTTCAACAGCAATAACAATAGCAGGGCCAGAGATTCCAATGATAAGCAAGTCATCTGCTATGGTTGGTGTTGCTCTTGCAACTGTCCAATTAACGTTGATAAGAAAACCGGTACCGGTAAGGCCAGTTAACTCATGCAAGTTTTTCTCCCAAACAAGGGATCCATCAGATGCTTCAACAGCATAGATGTTTCCATTCCAGCTTGGAAAATAAAGGATTCCATTGAAAATTGCAGGTGTAGCTGTTATGTCTTTGCCTGCATAGAATTCCCATTTCAACCGCAGACTGGAAACTGTTTCAGGGCTGATCCTAGTCTCTTTTTCAGCATATCTCCTGTTATACAAGTCCCCACCATGGTTCAACCAGTTTTGTGAAGACTTCTGCTCTTTTATAACTGAGTTCCACTGCAAACGACAACCATCCAGAAATATTAATATAGCTTGGAATCAAAAGAAAGGGAAAAATGGGAAATTATGCATATAGGAATCTGTCGATAGGATTTAATAAGAGAGATACTTACCCCAAATTGTGCAAATGTTCTGTTCAAAAATGGAAAAGAAAATAGAAACATGAGAAGAACATTATGGCGGTATACATGAGCCGCCATTGAAATTGAATTCATGTTGATATATGACATAACCATTTGAATTTATATCAGAGAACGTAGCCATCAAACAGAATTGTAGTAACTCAATAATCTTTATCTTATTGGTTTGACTCTATCGGCCAATGATTTCTTTTTCTTCTCTGCAAGTCGTGGGATTTGATTATTTGACCTTGTGTTTTAAATTGTGAAGGGGGAGTCTGATATTGTGATCGATGAAAGCACATGCTACAAGGAGTTACGTGCAGTGCACAAACTCAAAAGTGGACAATGGAATCTATACTCACAAATTTCTAAGCTCAGTGAGTATAAATCATCCAACCCTTACATCAGAATATGTGATTCATTAATTGATACAGATAAAGAGTAAGATTTCAATCCCTCTTCTCCACTTATATAAAAAAAAATCACCCAGCCCCTTAAAATCATTTCAACAACTAATATATATTCTTGGGCTAACTCATAGACCCATTGCATCAAGAGGCCTTATTCATCTAAGCAAATGAAGACGAATGGGCGGATTGATCCCTAACTTATGGGCTAACTTCTTGGCTCCATTATATATACAGCGACTTTTTCGCTTAAGTAATGAATGTGATAATGTAATTTAATAACAAAAGTTAGAAATTGGCCAAAAATAAAAATAAAAGTTAGCAATTATCTATAGGTTATTTAATTAAATTGAAACTAGAGACGAGTTTTAGACCAGACAGTTTGGATTAGTCAACCACACAAAGTATACACTTGTTCTTAAATTAAACTTGCTTTTGTTGGATTTGTATTATATATAGTTCCACAATTACCAAAAAGTAATTAATTTATTAGCATTAAAGTACACCATATTAAATAGAGTTTTTCTTTAAAACACTTCCAAAACAACTCTACTTGAAAAGCACCTTTTGCAAAAGGCCTCCAAACAGGCTGAGACGCTCTAATTTATTGCATAATCCAATGATGTTCAAGCATGCTAATATTGACTATATATTATTGGATTGCCTATAATCTATAATCTATCTATGTTTATCTATATAAACACATAGACTATATATAAAGCACAACCTCCAAAAGTTTAAATAGTAAACGATATTATATATTCTTGATAATTTATTAAATTAACTATTTTATCCGTAATTAATGATTTCTTATTAAATTAAAAATTGACTAATTAATATTTATTCCCTTATTTAAATTGATTTCCTTATTATAATGCAAATTTCATTAATTGATTTTTTTTATTAAATTAAATATTCTAACTCTTTATGAAAGTAAATTGTTCTTAATAAAATTTAAATTTAACTATACAAAAACTATAATATTTATTTAACATATGTGATATCAAATAACATGGTTTAGGCGAGTAGCTTATTGTCTATTAGATTTATTTCTTTCTTTCTTTCTCCTTTTGTTTTTCAAAATAGAGATAAATTTATTTCAATGTAAAGTGGTCGGGGTCAAGCTCTTATAGCGTCAAGGTGTAAAATATATAACTCACCTTTTCATCATGTTAGGAAGGGAGGGAGGAAAATGCCAAAAAAAAACAAAAGGGTAAGAGTTAAGGAGAGAAAAGTAAAAAAGGAAGGGGAAAAGGAAACATAAACAGAGAGGAAAGAAAGTTATTCTTTTTGCTCCTTGTATTTGGTACGAAGGATGAAAAATAAAGAGAAAGAAAGAGGTTAGAGGTAAAGCTGAGATTGGAACTGTAGCTATTAGATTGATAGTTGCAGCAAAGAAATTGAAACCAATGATGAGATAATGATCGCTTTGGTAAATATACAGTTGTGGTGATGTGGTGAGTAGAAAACAACCATTAAGGGCATTAAGTAAGAATTGGATAGTTTCTTAATTATAATGTTCTAATTGTATTATGAATTTTATTTAATTGATTTTACTAATATAACATTTATAATTTCATCTTATTTTTTAGTCAATTATGTTACTACAATCATAATTGGATAAATTACAGAAGTATCTCGTGAGTAGAAGTATAAAAAAATTGCTATTTTGAGATTTAAAATTTGACACTTAATTACCATTCGTCTATTTTCATTACTTTTCTACTTAATATGGTTAACTTTATTTTGAAATTTTTTTGGCTTTGTTTAACACCGTTAAGGGCCATATAACGGTGAAATTAGATATAAGCAAGACCTATGATAAGGTGGAATGGTATTATTTGGATGGACATATGATGACAGTGATAGGGATTTCATAAAGGCAGATTTCTTAATAACTACTCGTGTCCTAAGAGTGACTTATTCGGTTATCATTATGTCCGTACCCTTTCTTGCTTTGTGTTGTGGATTTCTCTCCTTTATTTAAAAGAGTAGAAGATAAGCAAAATATCAAGGGTGTAGCAATGGCTCAAGGAGGTCCGAAAGTCTCCCACTTTCTTTTCATTGATGATAATATTTTGTTTGTAAGATCGACTGAAGGTTATAGTAGAGTCAAGAAGGTCATTTTGAAACAATATAAGCAGACTTCAAGACAAATGGTTAGTGTCGCAAAATCAGTTGTGTATTTTAGATTGAATGCTTCTGTGCAGATGCGACAATACGTCGTGTGTTCTTTAAGAGTTATCAAGACTTCGGAGAATGATATCTTGGTTTACCTTTAGTGATAGGAAGAGCCAGGCACAAGCTATTCCTAGTTACTAGCTCTATTACATGATATGAACATGGTGATTGCATTCTTTTGGAGGGGTACGATTTAGGGAAAGAAGGTACAATGGTTGCCTTTAGGGGAACGTTTCCAAGCCTAAGCGTGAGGGTGGATTGGGTTTCGTGATTATGAGGCATTTTTTTTTCTTTTTTTCCTGAAAGATTGCTACCTATCTGATCCAGTGGATAGGGCGTTGTATGGGACACAACCTGTTGATCAATCAGGATCTTTCATGTTCTTTCCTTCCTCTTTCATAAAGAAGGTAAGTTGAGAGCTCGTCATTATAAGGCATTTAACTTGGCATTGTTAGCCAAAAAATTTAGGAGGTTGGTTCATCAAGAAGACACGTGTTTTCTAATTTTAAAACCAAAATATTTTCATATGGCTTTTTTCTTTTTTTTAATGCAAGGGCAAGATAGGATCCTTTTTTAATTTGGAGAAGCTTTCCTGAAGGGAGAAATATTTTGGTTATTGGGGCTAGATCGCAAATAAAGTACGGAAGAATATCGATGTTTAAAAGGATAAGTGGATTAGTAAAAACCACAACAAGGTAATGACCAAGAAGAGCCTCCTCAATCCAAGCGTGTTAAGGAGTTAATAGATCCTTTTAATCAGGCCCGTAACACATACATGGTATATAATTTATTCATACTAGAGAATGCAGAAGGTATTTTGCACACTCAATTGACCTCTTATTTTATGCAGGATGAGCTGATATGGCATGAAGCTTGAAATGGAAAATTTACAGTAAAGTCAACTTATCATCTGGCTAGATGGATGCATAGAGGTTAAGGAGTTGTGGTGAATGGTGTTAAACCATCTTGGTTAACTATTTGGAAAGCAAAAGTTATCCAAAGTTGAAGATTCTAATATGGTGGTTCTTGCAATGTATTTGGCCCATATGTGAAATATCAAAAAATGTCGAAAAGCCTCACAATGAACAAGAGAAATATTTGGGAAAAGAATATTTATATTGCATTATCTGAAGTGTACATAAGAAGCTAACCATATTTATATGCCAGTTAGTTTGTACTATAGCAAGTAAGTAAAGGATTAAAATGTAATACACCTAGATTTGTAATAATAATCTCTCAAATTGAACTAGATTTGTCTATCTAAACTAGGATTTATGAGAGAAAACTTCTTGTTCCTAACAAGGTGAGATCCAAGGCTATTCTATAGTCTTGGTTTTGGGGTTATTTAAGATGGTTTTAGATTAGACTTTTGGTTCTGATGGTAAGTAGTCATGGATGAGATAAAAGAGCGATGGAAAACATTCAAATTATCGGAGGAAAAAGCCAACCAAATTAAGATCGACAATAAGAATATCGCGGGTTCATCTAGAATTGAGAAGGAGTTTGGTTTGCTAGGATCAGTATAGGACATGAGATAAGTAAACAGAGATGCTATGGTCAAAACCCTTAGAGGTATATGGAAATTATCTGAAAAACACTTGGTGAAAGAAGTGAGAGAAAATTGGTTCTTATTTGTCTTTGATGTGAAAGCCAACTATGATAGAGTTAAAGAAGGACGATCATGGAATTTTGATAGATCTATGTTGGTCTTAAAAGAATTTGATGAGAAGTTAATGGAGCCAGAGGACATAGATTTTGATAGAGAAGATTTTTGGATCCATATTTTCGATTTGCCTATGAAAATGATGACAAAGGAGACTGCTAATGTGATTAGGTCAGCTATAGGAAGCTTCATAAAAGTAGATGGTGGGGATGATGATTTAGAGATAGATTTATGAGGATAAGAGTTTCATTAAACCTTACGAAGCCACTACAAAAAGGCATAATGTTATCAATGGGGGATGAACAAGTTAAATGGGTGGGCTTTCAGTATGAAAGACTATTAAGGTTTGTTACAGATGTGGGAGAATTGGGCATACGGTGAATATTTGTGAGATGGCATGCCATGACAAAAATTGTGAAGATGTCTAGGATTAGTATGGAAATTTTCTAATGGCACCTCAATGTAAGAAATCATTGTTATAATTTTAGATGGAGTAAACTAGAAGAAGTATGATGATAGTAGTAAATCTGATTAGGAGTGGGAAAAAAGGTTAAGAAAGAGAAGCTAGGCGAATGCAATTTCACATCAAAGATGCCAGATGAACTATTGAATAATGATGAGGAGGACGTTAACTAGTTAAGCTGTGCAAGAATGGCTAGTAGCAATGGGGAATAAGTTAACACATAGGAGCATGAAGATTTAGCTGAGGTAACTCTCAAGTTAAAAAGGCAGTAAAGGAGCAGAGACAAGACAATGATAGTGAAATTAATGCAAAGATGAGGGAAAAAGATTTAAAAGTAGCAAAATTTAGTTTAGAATGTGTTGGTATATGCCCTTGAGCCAATTAGATTGGTCAAGGAATATATATTATCAGTTTATGCATACTTAATCGCATAATTATATATGATAGAAGTTTTTCTTCATGTTAGTGCAATAATAAGGAGTTTTTAAGTACTAATTGAATGAAGCCTGTAGAACATAAAGGCCTTGCAAAAGAATTGTAAAGTTGTTACAATTATGAGATCACTATGTACCAAAGCCAAATTCCTAATATTATTCCTACTTATTGCATTATCAAGATAGGGCATTGACAATGCTCAAAGATTGGTACATGTTAAACCTCCTACTTGGGAAGTAAGCAATTGATATTATAAATTGAAGTATATAGGATACTTGAGGATAACATGTAGATGCTTGTTAAAGAACAAGTTCACTAATCATGACTTACTATAAGAACTCCATTTGGTATTTCAC